TTTTTTTTTTTTTTTAATGACTTGTTTCTTTTGTTATAGTTTTGTTCAAGTGTTCTACTTCAGTCTGTATTAGTTTAGGTTCGTAGTATGTATCCAGAAATCCATTTCTTCCAGATTTTCATATTTATTGGAGTATAGTTCTTCATAATATCCTTATACTATCCATTTCTTTTTCAGTTGGTTCTGTTGTGACATTACCCATTTCATTTCTTATTCACGTTACATACATTTTTTTCCTTGTCTTCCTTTGTTAAATTTGCCAGTGTTTTGACAAATTTATTAACTTTTCTAAGACTCAATTTGTAGTTGATTCTTTCTACTATTTTTCTGTTTCATTTATTTCTGCTCAAATGTTGATTATTTCTCTTCTTCTGGTGAAAACAAACAATCATGCTTTTCCAGACTCAGGGACTGAACAAACACTATTCCTCTAATTGTAAGGCATTCCCCAGCTCCAACCTCTGCTAGATGGCAGTTCTGGTCTTGACCAAGATGTTCTTAGTATAAATGTGCTGATTAATCAAGCTGCTAAATTTCAATGGGAACGGCCAGGCCTGATCATTAAATATTTATATTATAACCCTAGAACACTTTAAAATCAAGGCTTCCTCACCTGAAGTGGCAAGTGCTTGATACGTACAAAGTCATGGTTAAAAACAACAGCAGCCATAACCCGATCAGAGTTATCATCATGTTTAACGTATTTTTCAAAAGCTTTCTCTGAAGTAAAGCCATGAACTGTGTGAAGAGAAAATCCAAGCAGTAAGCCATGAACATAAAGGCAATAACATCTATTGTTCTATCTGTGGGACTGAAAAACAATCAAACAATTTTACAAATATAGAAGATTGTTAATTCTGACAGGGCTTGGCAAAACTTCATAGTTCTCTGAAGCTCTGTAAAATTCCTCACTTGTACAGTCACCTTTCCTTTCCAAAGTTCCAGTTCTAGTCTTCAGGTTAGCATTACCTTTTTGGCCCCACTATCCTAGCCAAAAGGAGCTCTGGTGGCATAGTGCCTAAAGCATCTGACTGTTAACTAGAAGGTTGGTGCTTCAAACTCACCAGCCACTCCATGGAAGGAAGACAGGGCAATCTATTTCTGTACATATTCACTGCCCCAGAAACCCAATGGGGGTCACTATGAGTTGGAATTGACTTGATGGCAGTGAGTTTTTTTTTGTTGTTGTTTGTATCTTAGACAAGAAGACTTAAGAACCAAATTAGTGGAAGGATCTTTACAAATAGTCAAGATTCCTCATTTATATTCAAATTTATAACTACACATTTATTAGGTAATTAATTCTTTCTTGGGCTGCTTAAAATTATGAGGATCAGTATAAATTGTTGTTGTTGTTGTTGTTATGTGCCGTTGAGTCAGACCTGACTCATAGCGACCCCTCCTTGGGTTTCCAAGGCAGTATCACTACGGAAGTAAATTGCCCCATCTTCCTTCTGAGGAGTAGCTGGTGGGTTTGAACTGCTAGCCTTCTGGTTAGCAGTCAAGTGCCTTAGGCACTATGCTACCAGAGCTCCCAAGTATAAATTACAACATTTAAAATTCACTTTTATAAAATAAAGTAATTGGCATATAGAAACTTCTGTTCATAATTCCTTACTTGTGAAATTATTTAATAAAGTCTGTTGTACCATTTTAATAAGATCTTTCACTATTTCACTGTTGGAAGGGATATAAACCAGTTCCCAGTTTCTTTGTCCACTGGCATCAAGGAAATAAGGAGGCAGACTCTGGATGGACTGATTGGCGAACATGAGAGTATTCACATGCTGTACAGAAGCAGAATTACGAACTATCAAGAGGATAATAGTGAACAGCAGTTCCAGTATAAATTCCATGATCAGAGGAATCCATTGTCGCTTCTGGAACAAAATGAAAAACGTAAATAAAGCACATAGTCTTTAACATCACATCCAAGTTTTATTCCTTCCTACCCTCCTGACTCTACACCACCTACTGCTTCCTGGACTAAAAGTGTCAGCATCCTCTGGTCGAACTTTCTCATCTTGTTTCCTCACTCCCCACTCCAAACAGGTATTCCCACTTAGATGCTTGTTTTAGCCCAAAGAGGAAGTGTTTGAAAAGTCCTTGGTTGTGGCAGAAGGCTGCCAATTATCAAGCTTTCTGGTGTTGGTTATATTGTATCTGCTCACCAGCTCACTTTGCCCAGCCATTTCAATTTCCTATTTAATCAGACCTCTGACTACCGAGCTTGCACTTTCATTATTTTGTGCCAATATGGAGCTCTGGTGGTGCAGTGCCTAAGGCATCTGACTGCTACCAGAATGCTGACAGTTCAAACCCACCAGATGCGCCACGGAAGGAAGATGAGGCAATCTACTTCTGTAAAGATTACTGCCATGGAAACCCAATGGGGGTCTCTATGTGTCAGAATCGACTCGATGGCAGTGGGTTTGGTTTTTTGGAAGCCAATATGCCTGCAACATTTGATCAAATGTCTGTCTCAACTTCTTTTTAATCATATTCTTACTCTCTTTTCTGGCCTTTAATCAATACAAATTTCTAAACTTTCAAACTTCTATATTCTAAATATATTCCAAATTCTATTTGAATTTCTAAATTCAGCAATTTCTATATTCGAATCTCCTGCCCTCTTAAGAGACATTCTAATAGCTCCTTAACTCTAGTGTGTGACTGATTTTTGATTCTGAACCTGACTCTCAAGACCTGGAATGGAAAATATCAGTTGCTGTAATTTGTTTACTACTACAGCCATGAATCCCTCCCATATTTTCTCAGATATGTATACTTACTTTTATAATTAAATTTTTCCAAAGAAGAAGTGTCAATGGTCTGAAGTCCAATGTCATTCTTCTATTTGAAGAGGAAATTTACCACTGGTCAAGATTAAAGAGGAGAAATATAGGATACCTAACAAAATATTAGCTGTGGTCAAATATTAGAAACCCCATATTCCTATTTTTATACTCATTCTTTTGTGCATCTAGTCTTATACAGAGAGTAACAGGAAAGAACATATTTTTTTTTTTAAAAAAAGAAAAATGGCTAAAAAATGTCATTCCTCCCACTTCTCGTCTCAAAGAGCACAGCAGTATTTATTAAAAGAATAATCTTCCTACCTCTGTTCATCAAATAGAAACAAACATCCAAATCCTAATTTTGTATTCATGCTTCTGGTACACAGCCTATATAACAAGCTATTCTCGTAAAAGACAGCATCAGAACTGTTATCTCCCCAAATGATGTAGGAAATTCATTGGGCATCCATTAAAGACAAATTTGAAAATTTCCAGTGATTCCATATTGTATGGGCTTGAACTATAATCCTGACTCAAACGAGCTGTTAGAGAACTTTTACCCCTAAAACAGTAGCTAGAACTATTTTGAGGGAGGGTATGTTTGCACCATCTGAAGGAGGACCACCCTACAATCAGACCTTCTTCAGATTTCCAACAGTTACTATCCTTACTCTCCCTTAACACCTTATTTATTTCCCTTCTATCATTTATTAATCTGTATGTCTTGTGTGTGTTTGTTTACAGTCTTTGCGCCTCATCCAGCCGTGGCTCGCGCCCAGCCCAGCTCTGCGCCCCAGCCAGACCGACCCAGCCCTTAGAGCCAATCCTTATCTCAAAGTTACAGAGCCGGCTTGTGGACTTCCTTTGTCTACACTGTTCCAACATGCCAGAGGCTGTTCACCTTGGAGACCTGCTGTGGATATATAAGCCATGAAAGCTGAGCCCCCTTTTATCTAGTCCTTCACTCTATTTTTACATGTGGTAGCATGGCCGAGTGGTCTAAGGCATTGGATTAAGGCGCCAGGCTCTGCGGAGGCGTGGGTTCAAATCCCACTGCTGCCAATTCTATTAGGATCTCTGGTGGCATAGTGCCTAAGGCATTTGACTGCTAACCAAAAGGCTGGGTTCAAACTCACCAACCACTCCACAAAAGGAAGACTGGGTAATATATTTCCGTAGGGGTACCAGCTCAGAAACCCAAGGAGGGGTTGCTATGAGTTGGAACCAACTCCATGGCAGTAAGTTTCCACCCACCCCCATTTTCAGTGCTCATCAGTGCGTGGCACAGAGTATGTGCTCAATTGATAGTTTTTCAAAGACTGAGTAAATGAATTGCCCGCCCACACACATTCTCACATCATTTTTCTGGTACGGGATATGCAACTTTTATGTAGAATGTGTTTTGTTTCTGTGACTATCGCTGAATTGATACTGTACACTCTCAGAATCACATCGTACAGTCCTTTGGGAAATTTCTAGGCATGTTTCCAGGCCCTTTGGTTTGTCAGAAATTGCATAAGAAAAAAGGTATTGAAATGTAAAACATACTATGTTAACTATATGTGCTTTTTCTCAGCTATCGGCAGTAGTCTGTGAACTCTTACTCAGGGAGGATGTCTTTTATGCTCCTTACGTGTGTACCTCAAGCATCAAACACAGTACCTGAAGAAGGATGTATGCTCAAAGAAACTTTACTGAGTTGCTTAAGGCAAAGATCTGAATATTCCTACCATTCAATCTGCTGCTGCTGCTGCGGGTGGTGGTGGTAGTGTAGTCTTTCTAGATAAGGCAACCATTGAGGGTTCCCCCAGATAGCCTTGCTCTGCAGCTCTAGTCCTGACATTTAACAAAGTCAGTTGGATAGTTATATGTGGACCTTTATTTACAGAGGCTTAAGTCATGGGCTGACTGGACAGCCGCTAACAACAACGTCTGTGGGCCCACAAAGACTGTGGGCCAAGAAGAAGCTGTAAAAGCATCAAGGTAGTTTACACAAATGCTGACAAATTTCTCTTCTTTCCAAATTCCCTTTCCCACTTCTTCAGTTCTGTTAATTGTTCCCAATTCTCTGAGTTCAGAACCGTGTCACTGTTTTTTAATCATTCATCTCCCACACACTGCCACTAAGTCTTGGAACTCCTTTCTTTGTAGGCCACCTTCTCCATCACCTTCATTCTTGTTAACAAAACTCGCACCAAACTCAAAGGAGCTCTAGTGATGCAGTGGCTATGGCATGTGACTGCTAACCAGAAAGTTGGCGGTCCAAATGCATGTTAATAGCATCCAGAAAATCTTACACCTCCAGCTGTGGCAACAATCACATAACAATCTGTGTCATCTTTCAGTTTTCCACCTCATGTAACACATTTGAATACTCTTGCCAGACACAGTGAAACCTGGGAGAGCTGGAACTTGACCGGATGGCCTTGTGTTTCTGGGTCCTGCATGCAGTCTTACACTTCTCTATCGCTCTCTATTAGGGGCAAATAATTGTGTTTCCTTCTCTGATAAGTTTCTGCCTTCACAGGTTCTGGCTTTCCCACGTTTTACTGTATATTCTTCCAAAATGTATTTTATTCTTGCCAATTTCATCACCTCCCCCTGGGAAAGTGAAGTATGTGATCTTTTTGATACTACCTGCCACTGCTCTATGCCTTTATTAGTTTAGTGAAAGGCTCTGAGCACCTGCGGGCTGTGTCAACACCTGTTCCTTAATTCCCTTCTTGGCTCTTTAACAGGCATGCTATATATTCATTATTTTTCAATGTTCCACTCTTACCTTTTTACAAACAAACAAAGAAACAAAAGCAAAACATACATACAAGACCCCAGCAAGTTTCCATCCTGACAAGGGAAGAGATCTCAAGTAGGGACAGCAATAGCCTGACTGAACTAACTCATGAATGACTTAACGCTTCCAAATGTTATGCAAAAAAGGTACACGCTACCTAAATGAATCTCTAGCAAAATAAAGCAAAAACATCAATGAGTAACCTCAAAAACTAGCAAAAAAGGTACCCACTGATGTTGCTGGTGGAGTAGTGCCAAAAGTATATGACTGTTAACCACAAGACTGGCAGTTCAAACCCACCAGCCAGTCCACAGAAGGAAGACGGAGCAATCTACTTCTGTAAAGATTTACTGCCTCAGAAACCCAAAGAGAGTTGCTACGAATCAGAATCGACTTGACTGAGGCAGTGAGTTTTTTGTTTTTTTTTTTCCCCCTTTGAATGTGGCTGGAGAACCATAATTCAAGCAGCATCCTGGGCGTTTTCTCTACACAATGCAAGGTTTCACACAGCTTCATCTGGCCTCATAGGTGCAGTGGGGGCTCTAACAGAAAAAGTAAGCAGTAGGGGCTTAAGCCAGTTTGCATATTATGGGAGTTCATCTGTTGGAAACTGCCCATACTTGTTTAATCAAGCTACTAAGGAGGAAGGAAGAAGGAAACCAGACAATCAACGGATTCACAAACTGACATTAGAACAATGGTTCTCAATGGGGGAAGGGAGGAGGGAGGTCTTGGGGGCACAAAGACAATAAAACCAAACCCACAGCTATGGAGTTTCACCTCTGATTTTCTATTTGATACTGCAGATGTTTGGTTCTGAAACTGTTAGAAACTTGTGGGATTTTATTTGTTGCTCTTCTGAAAAGTGCCTAAAACTGGAAAAAACTAGAAGCCGCCAAAGTCTTAAAACCAGAAAAGAAATGAACCCGTTACTGTAGAGTTGATTCCGACTCAGAGAGACCCTGTAACAAAGTTAAGATGCTTAAAAAAAAAAAAAAAAAAAAAAGAGGCTTATGTTATAGTCACGGCAAGCACAAACTATATTTTAATATTTAAGCATAAAGACAAAGTAAGTTTATGCAGAAATCAAATTATACTACATTCTTAAAATGACTTCAGATCAATGCTGGGTGAGTGGAAATGGGGTTATTTTCAGAATTTAATCATTTCAGAAACCATCTGAATAGTTACAGAGATTCTAGACGGGTAAACTTTTGCACCGCACTTTGTAGGCTAAAGGAGCTCTGCTGGCATAGTGATTATTTAGCTGCTAACCAACAGGTTGACAGTTCGAACCCACCAGCGGCTCTGTAGGTGAAAGACGAGGCAGTCGGCTTTCCTGAAGATTTACAGCTTTGGAAATCCTATGGGACAGTTCTACTCTGTCCTAAAGAGTTGCTATGAGTTGGAGTGGAAATGATAACAGGGTTTCTAGGTCAGGCCTTCAGCAAGGAGGGCTAGGCCTGCTGTGCACCGAGTGACAAAGAACACGACGGATGCGTGGGGCGCGGTTGCGGGCAAGAAATCCAGGGACACTCACCCTGCTGCTCGAAGTCTCTGCGGAGACGACCACCTTAGTCCCCCCGCCCAGACAACCTGACCTGGCCCTCGGTCCTCCCTCGGACTCACAACCGCCACCGCCTCGACCAGGGAGCTGCGTGGCGCGCGACACGCCCGGCCCCCCGCGCCGTCCAACGGCGATATCCGCTGTAGTCTCCTCCCTCCAGGCAGGTGGTGTTCAGCACCCGCGCTTCACGCTTCCGCCCGGATCGCGGAGCATGCGCGTCGCACCCTCAAGCCCCCGTCCTGACGCGTGCGCCCTGTGCCCTCAGCCTCTGCGCTGCCCCACCGCTGGTTCTGGTGTGTTGGAGTGTATGGAATGGAGCTGCTAACTTGTTTTCAGCCCCCTTCCCATGCACGTGTTGCTCGACACCGCATCAACCTCCGGCTCGCAGCGCCTCTTCATCCTTCAATGTCATTTAACACTTCCCACCTTTTATTAATATTAGTGCCTAAGGCACTTGACTGCTAACCTCAAGGCTGGCGGTTCAAACCCACCAGCCACTCTTCGGAAGGCGGGTTGGGCAATCTTCCGTAGTGCTCCTGCCTCAGAAAGCCAAGGAGGTGTCGCTATGAGTCGGTTCCCACTCCACAGCAGTGAGGTTTTTTTTTTTTTTTTGTTTGAGCATGGTAAAAGATGCATTCTTAGGTAAATATGTTGGGGCAGATGGGTTTGCCATTCAGGAATTCGTTTTTTTTTTTTTTTTTTTTTTTAATGTTAATTGTGTCCACACATTTTTAATATGAAGTTAATGTGTGTGTTTTCTTTCCTTCGCTTAAGTATTTTGCCGTTAAGTCCACGAGGTCTTTGACTGTCTCCCTTCTTTAAATTGAACGGAATGGGGAAAAACCGTAGCTAAAAAGGCGGGGCCTCATTAGTGGGTGAACGTTATGGAAGATTTCACAAATTTGTGGAAGCGAATGGAAGTATGTTGAGGAATGAAAACACTCTGCTGCCTACCAGACACATAGGAAGGGATAGATTTCTCAGGGGAATCCTGGAGAGGCTTATGGCTTGGAGTTGGAATGTGATTTGGAAATCTAGAAATAGAGATATTTTAAAATCTAAGGCCCTAGGACACAACTTCCAGGCAGCCCCATAGTTACAGACAGGCAAAAAGTCTAGGGCTCTCTTCAAAGAGCATGCCGTGAACTGCCTGGAGAGGACTGCTGCTAGCTGCAAGAGTAGAATTTCCAGGCATTGGAAAAGAGCAATGCATAAAACGACAGGCCGCTAATTCTTCCAAACAAAGAGGAATCAACATGAATCCGTCTCCAACTCTTTAAACAAACGCAAAACGGAAAGTTTTTTAACTCATCTTATGAGGCCAGCATTACCTTGATACCAAAGCCAGACAAACACTTGACAAGAAAACTAGAGGCCACATCAGATGCAGGGCTTGGAGCAATCAGCCCATCAATCCTGAGAGAACAAAAGGGAGATAACTTGTTTGCACAGGGATATAACTTGGGGGCAGGAGGGCCTGGGAGGGAAGGGCAAAAGGGAAGGTAACTACAGGGAGGAACTGGGAAGAGGGGAATTGCAGTCAATGTCAAGAAACAAAATGTGTATGAACTGCTGTATGGAAAATGAATTTGCTCTGTAAACTTTCACCCAAATCACAATAAAAAAAAAAAAAAGGCCAATATCTGTGCAAGGATTGTTAAGCTGGCACTGGATGGGGCAGTGTTTCATTCTGTTGTATGTAGG